CTCCTTAAGTAGACTAATAAATGATTAAAGCATTCTCTATTTCCCTCTTTTTGTGGTAAATCCTGGATTTACTAAATTTGGGAGTTCGATGAATTTGTAGGATTTGGATGAAGAAGAGTGCAAAAGGAAGAAAGATCGATACCTTCGCAATGACCAAGCACCTGTCATCCTTGTTCCTTCTGATCCAACAAAAGAACAGCGAGGAGGTGTGACTTTGAATGCGACGGAAAGGAACATTGTTGAAGGATGCAAAGAAGTTATTTAGCGACTCATTAAAAATAACGCAAGTCGAATAACAACGAATAGTTGATGAACAATGAAAGAGAAACCCTAGCAATCAAGCGATGGAGGCGAAGTTGAAGAGCAATACGAAAGATGAAAAGGAAGAAAGGGTATAGGAGAAAAGTTGGAGATCAAAACGAGCAAATGAAACATATGCAAAACCGATCAATTATATATGTTAGTTTTCATCAAATTTGTGGAACAAGGGATGCAAATATGCCACAAAGTTTTCGACAAAATTTTTCGTCGCAAATCTATAAACATTTTTCGATGAAGAGGTTGTACCATGGTGTATGCTTTTTATTGATGATATTCTTCTTGTTGATAAGACTAGAGAGGGAGTTGAAGGTAAACTTAAATTATGGAGATCAACCTTAGAGTCTAAGGGTTTTCGTTTGAGTATATTTAAAATAGAATATATGGAGTGTAATTTTAGTAGTAATATATCTAGTGGGGGGATTGAGACTTTGGGCAATCAAGTCATTAATAAGAGTACGCATTTAAGTTATTTTGGGTGTATTATTTTGAGTGATGGTGAAATAGATGGTGATATTATTAGTAGAATTTAAGTTGGGTAGTTGAAGTGGAGGATTGCATTAGGCTTGTTGTTTGATAGAAAAGTACCCCTCAAACATAAGGGAAAATTCTATAAGATGGTGGTGAGACCTATAATGTTTTATGGTGCAGAATGTTGGCCATTAAAAGTTAAGTGTTGCAGAGATGAGGATGCTTTGGTGGATGAGTGACTTTACTCTTAATGACAAGATAAGAAGTGAGCATATACGTGAAAATGTTGGAGTAGCTTTACTGGAATATATTATTAGAGAGAGTCTCCTTAGATGGTTTGGTCACATAAAATGGTGGCCTTCCGATGACCTGAAAGTATATATATGAGATTTTGCTTATGTTAAGAAAGATAGAGGTAGACCAAGAAAGACTTGGTTAGAAAATATTATAAATGACATTTCTTTATTAGATTTAAATGAGAATTTTAACTCTTAACAAGACACAAATGGAGAAAAAGGATTTATGTAGCCAACCCCACGTAGTGTGATAAAGGCTTAATATTGTTGTTAGCGTACAATACTTAATGTTTTTTATATATGTATTACTAGAAACATCCCATTATTATAAATCTTTCAATAGTAAAAAAGTATTTCCGGTAAAAATTCATCTACTATTAATTACATAACTCGAAATAATTTTGGGCGTCATGGAAACCTCTAGAAAGGGTATTTTGATGGATTTCTATTTTAAAGTTAATCAGACAAAGTGCTAATTTCCTAATAAAAATAAGATTTGTATGAATGACAATTATGGTATTCAATAGAGATAATGCACATGTGAATAAAGTTTGCTATCATAGGGGTCATTTCAATATTCAAGAATAAATTTTGATTTTCAATGATCTCTCATGAACCATATTGCATAAAATCTTTCAACTATTGAGCACATAAAGTTAATTAAGGCCTTTGTTTTTATGATGCTTTTAAGAAAGTTGTATCAAATGAAGCCTTAGGCTTCTTTTAATTGGTACCTCTTTTGGCCACTGCTTTTTGCGGCTTTCAAAATTTTTTGTAAAAAAAGCTATTTTAAAAAGTAATAAGAAAACTATCTCAAACGAAGCCTAGCACTCATTCATTATTCAAGGTCTGGTATACAAAAAGTTTTTCAAATGGGAAATTTTGCCTAACAACTTTAAATATATGTACCCACAACACTAGATCTTAGATGAGCAAAAATATTGATTTCCAGTGAGTGTTATATTATTACACCTTATAATACTTATGTATCATAACTTTACAACATATAATGGCCAATTAAAGTGTATAAATACAATAATACATATATAAATTATTTAATATTAGAAAAAGTCATGTATAACAAACCTATATATATTCAAAGTAATGAGATCAACTAATATATAAAAACTAGGTTCGTTAAAAATATTCTGACTTAAGTTTCAATTGAGACAATTTTTTTACTGCTTCTTAAAGCAGCTTTCTTGTACAAACATTTTGTTTTTTATACTAAAAAGCTATTTTAAAAAGTAATAAAAAAGTCATCCTAAATGAGCCTTAGGCTTCCTTTGGGACAGCTCCAGATCACTACTTTTTCCTGCTTTCGACATATTTTTAAGCGAAAATATAGCTTAACAAAGTATTAAGAAAGCTGTCCTAAATGAAGCCTTAATTTTATGCAAAATGAGTTTCTAGCTATTATAACTTTCTGTTGAGATAAATTTAATATAATACTTATTTGATTTAAATTAGAATATTCACTTACCTAAAAAAAGCTTAATTGTAAATGAATTATTATTTTTCAGATCTTTGATTATTTTTTTAATATTTTTGAAAAAAAAAGAAGAAGTAATTTTTTATAATCAAATATATTAGAATTTGATACAACAACATCAACAACATCAAGCCTTTATCCCACTACGTGGGGTCGGCTACATGAATCCTTTTTCTCCATTGTGTCCTATTAAAAGTCAAATTCTCGTATCTAATAAAGAAAGGTCATTCCTAATATTTTCTAACCAAGTCTTTTTAGGTCTACCCCTACCTTTCTTAACATAAGTCAAATCTAATACCTCTACTCTCCTAACCGGGTCATCACAAGGCCGCCGTTTTATGTGACCAAAACCATCTAAGGCGACTTTCTCTAATCTTATCTTCTACTGGAACTACTCCAACCTTTTCACTCTCTAGTCTTATCAACAAGAAGAATATCATCAGCAAAAAGCATACACCAAGGTACATCCTCTTGCAAATGTCTAGTGAGAACATCCATGACTAAAGCAAAAAGATATGGGCTTAAGGCTGATCCTTGATGTAACCCAATCGAAATAGGGAAATACTTGGTCAATCCACCTTGTGTTTGAACACAAGTAATAGCTCCTGCATACATATCTTTAATGATTTGAATATAAGTATTATTGACTCCTTTCTTTTCAAGAACTCTCCATAGCACTTCTCTTGGAACTTTATCATATGCTTTTTCTAAATCAATAAATATCATATGTAGATCCTCCTTATTTTCTCTATATTTCTCCATCAAACCTCTTAATAAATGTATGCTTTCCTTAGTCGACCTACCCGGCATGAATCCAAATTGATTTTGAGAAACATTAGTATCACGCTGCAACCTATGCTCCAAAACTCGCTCCCATAGTTTTAAAGTATGACACGTTAACTTAATACCTCTATAATTCGCACAATCTTGTGCATCACCTTTATTCTTAAAATAGGAATTAACACACTCATTCTCCACTCATCTGGCATCTTCTTAGTCTTCAAAATAGTATTAAAAAGTTTAGTAAGCCATGAAATTCCTTCATCTCCTAAGCATTTCCACACCTCTATTGGAATATCATCAGGTCCAACAGTTTTTCCACCCTTCATTTTCTTTAAAGCCTCTCTAACTTCAGTTTTACTAATACGCCGATAAAAACATAAATCTTTATTTTCATTTAGATTACTAAGGTCACTATAGTCAATGTTATTATCACAATATTCATTAAGGTACTATATCAAATATATTAGAATTTGATAGTTGCAAAAAAATTAATGTGAGTTCTTAGAAAGTTGAAAATTTATAATACTCATAAAAATAAAGAAAACACTTTTCTAAAATAATTCTATTTTAATTTTATCACAATCTTAAATGAGAAAATAGAATTATCTGTAGCAATCAGTGATTGATTAACGATAAAGAAATCGAATTATTGATTCAGTTCTCCACTTTAATGACATAAAAATGAATTGCTCAAAATCTATTGATTCTATAACTGATAATTTATCAAAGAATCACTTTAATTATCTAATAATTAAACAATTGAGACCAAATTTGTTCCATACTTTTCTTATAACCACTTTTTTATAATTAGGCACTCTAATCTATTTGATTGTAAAAATATATTTTTCATTATAAATATTTTTTTTAAAGTCAAAATAAAATAACTAAGTAAAATTATAAAAGTTTTTAAAATAAAACCCAAATATAAACTAAAGCCGTGTTCCAAAATTTCTCCCGGGTTGGGAGTGTCTGAAAATGGGCAAATTATTGCATCTGGTCACTGGACGCGGAGAGTAGATTCGGACATCCAATAAAAATTTGTCACGTCACATGCGCTTTTGACTTGCGTTTTAGTTACGCATTGCCTGCGCTTTACATGCGCTTTTGACTGCGCTTTACCTGCGTTTTTGACTGCGCTTTGACCTGCACTTTACCTGCACTTTACCCGCGCTTTTGACGCGCTTAATTTAAAATAATATTTTATTAATATCCGGACCTATCTCCGCGTCCGGTGACCAGATGCAATAATTTGCCCTGAAAATGATTGACCTACTAGCCCGACTTGAACCCAAGCCCAAGAAATCCAGATTAGGGTTGGATTTTTTGATCCTTTGATGAAATGAGTTTGATTCGAGCTGACATACAACCTACTTTTGACCCGAAAATTACTCTTTTAATATTTTTTTCCTTAATTTTTTTCATTGTACCTATAATATTCTTATTTTTTTTATAAATAATAAGTTATAATTTTTTTAGTCAAAGCAAATTAATAGGTCAGATTAGAGTCATTAGATTTTCTAGTTGTGAATTCGAGTTAATTTTTTTAACCCATTTAATTAATAAGATCGGATAAGAATTAATCGGGGGTTGAATAAATTTTAAGCTCCACCTTACATCGACCATTTGCTCGGGCATGTAAATTGCCATGCAATCCATGGCTTTTCGCTTACGTGGAGCATGCTAACGTAGATTATTCTATATTATTGTAAAATCGCTGAGACCAAAAAGCTGGGCGCCAGGAGGAGGGAGTCGACGATGTTGTGCTGGAAACTTCGCGTGCCTTTCAAATCTCTCGACTTCCTTGTACTTTGGATTTCTAGGGTTTCTCGGCAATGCAGCTTCTTGGCTTTTGTTCATGAGTTCTGGCTGAAGACAAGCAGGTGCTACTCGAGGGAAACAGTCCTGTTTTCGGTTTTTAAGAAGGATTTTAAAATTAAGGGATTTGGCGTGCTTGCTGCTGTTTGTTATTTCGGTTTCGTTGTGAACAATGGAAGCGATAAGGGGTCTGTTGGTTGCGTATAAGGTTTTTAGTGTGTTAGATGGTGAGGGTGCTTCGGGTTGACGTAATTAAATTTACGTGGAAGTAATTTTTATTATAATCAAATTTGTTTCCGGTTGGAAAAAGTTATATTTTATCGTGAATGCAGTTTATTTTACGTTTTATTTTTGATTGATATTATTGCTGCGTTTCATTTGAATAATGGAAATCTGTTTTTGTTTTTTGTGTTTTAAGTTTTGATCCATTCTCTTTTTGTGATTTTTTTTAGGAATATAAACTTGATTTTTGAGCTTGAGAAGATTCACTGAAGGTTGCTTCTTCTCTGTTGCTAAGAATTGAGTTGCAGGGCTTTTTTTAGCGGAGGCTGGTTCTCTATTGATATTGAGGTTTCTGCGTGAAAGCATGATGGAAAGGTCTCTGCTTGCCATCGTATTAGATGGTCAAGCTGCTCGGGGAGAATCCGTTTTCTACACGATAAAGTTTGCAGTGCTGCCTATTGCAAAGGTTTTCACGATGTGCTCCATGGGTTTTCTCATGGCCTCCAAATATGTAAACATTCTTCCTGCAAATTGCCGTAAGATCCTTAATGGGGTAAGGGAAGCTATTTGACCTTGATATAACCTTTTAGATTCTCTTTTAGGACATTCATGCATATTCAGAAACGCGAGAGTTAACAACTAGAATATTCTTAAGCTTTACAAAAAAATGACTACTTATGCTTGCGAAAAAATAGCTTTTGCGTCTTGATTTTCTTTGACTGATCAACCTTTCTTCATGTTTGTGCTACAAAGATTCTTACATGATGTGAAAAGAGGAATCTTCATCTGACATCTTCTTCTAATATATAGCCTGTAAAATTCTCTACTCATAATTTGGTGAGAAGGTGGATCGGCTGGAGGAGGAGAGTACTGGTGTTTGTTAGGGACGTTTGGAATATTCTGATTTTCTTATGATTTTAGTGCTAGCATATAAAAGTTTTGTCAGTTTAGCTGCAGAGACTTTTTTGGACTAGGAAAAACGAAATATTGGTTTGCTTAAACATTCATTATTCTGTCTGAGGAGATGATGCGTGAAAATGTAGGGAGGAAATTCAACTAAAAAGCGTCCCATTGACTTAGATACAGTTTGCCTTAACTTTTTAATTGAGGGAAATTTAGAATCATTAAGGATTGCGTATGATTTATTACCTCTCTGATTGAATCATGTTTAAATTTACCGGATTTGCACTTGATATTGGAATTAATACGAAAGATCACCTATTTTCTTGTGGAATTTCTTAAAGTTCTATATTCTATATGATTATCTTTTAATATTTTAATGTAACTACGTATCTTTTGTAGCTATAAGGTTGTGATTCTTGTCAAAGCAATCTCTTGTAGCAAGAACTCATAATGTGTCTCCTTTGAATGTAGCCTCGTCTGAATTGGTGAAGTTTCTATTCGAACTCTTTTGTGATCACTTGAAAGTTTTCTAAATCCCATCAGTCAACAATCCTTGTGGATTATAATTCTGCAGACATGTTTGGTTATGCAAATGAAGCTTTTGTTCTGATTTTCATTATTTATCAACATGTGAATCCTGACAATCAAGTTTTACAACTTACAAAAACTTGTAGATTGGGCATTGTCTTGGTTCCAAGGCACTCCAGGTTTACGGGAAGATGTTTTTATCTTCATTAAGCCGCATTGGGATCTCATGTGACATCATTATGTTTTGCAAGAAATTTAGTTAGCCTTGCCATGTCTAAACATTTTTGAATTCAAAAAGTATCAATTGGCCTATTTTGCCAGTTTAAGATTTGCATGTATTTGAGATATCCAGCTTTTTTGCAGATTTGCTAGATTCTATTTAAAAAAGGCTAACATATTCTTACTTGTTGTTGTAGCTTGTCTTCTCTCTTCTACTTCCCTGTCTAATTTTTTCACAACTTGGTCGAGCAATTACATTGCAGAAATTGCTAGATTGGTGAGATTTTATTTCTTTCCTGCTAATTTTTGTTACGTGATACTTTTTTCATCGTTTGCCCCTGTTTGTATTTGGGATTGAGTGACCAAAGAGGAATTAAAATTGGGTTAGATATAGCATTAGTCAAACCATTTTTCAATCCAAACAAATTTTTAAGCCTACTGGCAATAATCAACTGCTCATATTTCTCGTTGAATCATTTTTCAACTATTCGATGTGGGACTATGCAGACATTCATGGCCAGGACTTCTTTCAAATGAATACTTTTTAATATCATTAAGAAACATGTAACAAGAGCCACTCAAATGGGAGTTATGAGCTCTTGCACTTGCTTAATCATAATAGAATGCAGCACATACTGTTAAATAACTTTGAAATATTTATAAAGAATACATTTCTATTGAGAAACTTATATTGAGAGTGTTGTTTTTTCAGGTGGTATATTCCTGTCAACATTATCATGGGTACAATTTCAGGTTCTCTGATTGGCCTCATTGTTGCATCTGTCATTAGACCTCCATATCCATATTTCAAGTTCACCATCATACATATTGGTATAGGTAATATTCAAAATCCAAAGGTGCAGTCATTTTTCTTTGTCCTTTAAGGTAGTATTTATTAGCAGGTATTCCTTTGGTGAATTTGGTTAGAATTTATCTTTTATCAGATTGTCTTTGCACTTTGTGTGTTTTCCATATATAGATTATCTTACCTACTTTTGTGTGATTTTATTCTCAAATTTTCCTTTTTCTTAAGCGAGAAAGGTTTTATGGAAAACTAGATTAAGTGAGTCCAAGGATAGATGCTGACATTGCATCTGAAATATTTCCAAAAGCTAGGATTTAGACTAAAATCGGTGCTAATATGGTAGCATATATGTTGTTTTTAAATATTATTTTAAAAAATGTAGAGTGATCTATGGCCTGGTAGTTGGGGAGGTTGTTTTTGTAGATATCATAGGTTCAAGTCACACTTATTATGATTTTTTGCTCGCCATTCAAAAAAAAAAAAAAAAAAAAAAAAAAAAAAAAGATTTTGTAAAATTATCAGAAATTAATTTTTAAATTTTTATGAGGATCTTTTATTTTAAATTTTTTATATATTAATTAAATAATATATTTTTAAAATTAATAAAAAACTACATAAACTAATTATTTTGAATTATTAGCTCATCTAAACCGTGTTAACCTTGCTAAATTTATTTTTAACAATTTATATTATTTTTTTACATTTTTTCTAAAGCTAATAAAAATTTCAACATATTATGTGCTAAAAAAGTAAAAATATATTATTTCGTTAATTTGGAAAACAAAATTATATGAAAATTTAATTATTTAAAAAATGAAAAAAAGATTTTAAACATAAATTATGCTCATTATTTATACTTAAAAATTTTTGCTATGCCTGAATATATTTATTAAAAAATATGATTATTGTTCTGGGGAATAATGAGCAAAATATTGCAAAATGTATGATTCAAAGTTCAAACTCATGACTTCTCCAAACAATCTCTCTAACCGTTGGGTCATCATAAATCCGTTTGCTTACTTTTTATTTCAGAACACAAAAAAAAAAAAAAAACCCAAGTCTACCATGCACTTTAGTAGCTGATGATTGTTTTAAAAATTTCGCCAGTGTCAAATTGAGATCAACTATCTTAATCTACCAACAAGGAAGAAATAAGACTTCAAATTTGATGAGCTTATACAATGGTTTTGTTATGCTTCGAACATAAAAAGTTAGCTCTCAAATGAACATTCTAGATTGTGTAATGTGATTTCATGATTTTAATTTGATCATGCATTTGCAGTGAAATAAAAGATAAAAAATGGATTAAATTGGTATTTAGGAGAAGGGCAGTACATATTCTCCATTTCATCTTATTTCTGCAAAGTTCACTACGCTAAATCTGATTTAGTTGTTCCTATGTTGATTTTATGTATAGATAAATATGAATGGCCTTGTTTTATATATGTACAGTTTTTGATCATTAAAAGTCAGATAAGCTCAAGATTTTCTGTTACTCTGATTTTTTTTTTCTTATCATGAATATCCTGCTCACTTAAATGCCTATTAAGCCTTCACCAGGGTTGGTTCTTTTAGCATCGATGCATTGCAGTAAAATATCATTTATTCCATACTCTTGTGGTTTTTCGTTATATCTGCACAATTTTTTTTTTCTCTACTTTTATTGTTGTGTCTTAACCACGAAATTTGTTTTGTACATTTTAGTACTTCATCTCTAATAAATAGTTTTGATGTTTGACTCGATTAATCCTTATTATAGGAAATATTGGGAATATACCATTGGTTTTGATTGCTGCTTTATGCCGAGACGAATCCAATCCATTTGGCGACCCTAACAAATGTCATGAATCTGGAAATGCTTATATTTCGTTTGGTCAGTGGGTATGTGGTTGCTTTTCCATGCTATTACTTATGAATCATGATTCTCTTATATGTATTCATTTTTGACACTAACTAAATTACTTCATTTTTTCTCATCACTAAACCGAGAGGGGCCCCAATAAATTTGTTATTTCTTATGCAAACTGTTAACTCTCATTTTATAGTTGCGCATTTCTGTTATAGTATATTCATTTTTTCTAAATAAGTTCCGTTTGATGCACTGCTGCACTATTGCTACTCTTATATTTTCTATTTGGAAGATCGTTGTTCTTTTTTTTTGTTTTCTCCAAGTTATTATTGAATTTGTTATCCTTGATTAGTTCATATCCCTTTTCTTAAGCTGTAAGAATGCTTTTGACTGAAATATGATGAATTCATCTGTAAAGAACAGCTTGATTAAGTTGAATTTCTGATTATATAAATGTTATTGTTGGAGCTTAAATATTACGATGGTCATTTTCTGCATACCTTTATTGTTATTCAAAGTTATGCATCTTGCATACATTATTCCCTTCATACTTCATAGTAGTTTCAAGAAACATATATGCATGCGATTATCTAAGTTGGGGATATTATTATTAGCGATACTGTTCTTGCATCCCTTTTATGATACTATTTCCTTATGGTTGTGACTTTCCTATCTATTTCTATGAGCATCCAAAGTCTCTTGGGCTATTAATTTAGTTAAATATGCACTGATTTTTTTGGAGGCTCAACATATGTGGAAGAAGGTTCCAGATGCACCACCACATTATAATTTCCTAATTTAATCTGATCTGTTTTTCTTTAAAATTGTACCTTCACTTACTTTTATATTGGCGTTCATTTTTCATAAAAAAATTCAGACCTTTTTATAGATTTGATTATCTTGTCCACTCTCCCAAATCTCATCAAGTTTAATTTCTTACCACCCTCTGAATCAACTTAGGACTCTTCAAAAAAATTATAACAATTTGACGAACAAACTAAAGTGGTGCCTTGGAGGAATGAAAATGACTAATTTACTTCTCTACCGATCCACTTCAGCCCCTACTCCTAGTCTCTCACTATCTCCACCTTGTGTGCTCGTGCCTTAGTGACGTTTTTGGAGTGCTTCTAATACAAGATTCCTCTTCATTTGGCTTTGTTTGCAACTTTCTCTTTCTTTATTGCAATTTGTATTTTTTCTTAGCGCATTTTCTAATGCTTATCCGTGTTTAACAAAATCGAGATATGCTTTTCTGATGTGTGCAGTTGTCCGTGAATTGCTTTATAATTAAGGAGTTATGTATGTTTTTTTTGTTATTTTTATATGTTTTATTTTTAAGGAATTATGTAGATGATATGCATAACTAGTAATTTCTGACTTCTCTGTAGCATAACTTGTTAATAACATCCCTTAATAAATTGAATCTCTTTGCCATATGTTTGAATGTGTATATCCCTGATACTTCAAATCACGTATTAATTTGTACAACCTGGACGTGTACTTGTTTGACCTCATCATTTTTTTAATATAGCGAGTCCTATACACACCTTTTTGCTTTTAATTGTTATTTTGCCTTTTATACAGGTTGGTGCCATTATTTTGTACACGTATGTATTTCAGATGCTTTCTCCACCATATGGAGAAACCTTTGATAGTGGTGAAGAGGAAAAACTTCCGATCCAGGACCCTGTTACTGAAGAGAAGCTGCCATGTAAGGCTACTGTCACAAAAGTAGAGAAAATATACACTAAGGTTTCTGGTGAAGATGCCAAACCTGAACAAGTGCCCTTGATAGATTCAAAGGAGTTTAAAGCGGGATTTTCAACAACAGAGAGGGTAATAAGATACATTTAAATATTTTTTAACTTAGTAAGCCATTTCAATTAGATTTTAAACAATATTTTAATAATAAAATGGTAGAATGACATGGATAATACTGATTTTGATGCCATTTTGATGATGGGCCTGTAATGTTGATTGCTAACATTTTAGTTTCTTTCTTTTTCGTCCTTAAAATTTGTCTTGTGAATCAAATTGAGCCTTCAGGAATCACGCAAGGAGAAGAAACAAGAGGAAGTATTGGTGTGGGGTGCACTTTTCTGTAGATACTATTAGTAGTTGATTTTTGATTGGAGAGAGAGAAAGCGTATTGTATGAAGAGAGGGAATCCCTTGAGAAGCAGATTGGAGTGCAATCACTCAAGAAAAACCACATGTCACCCTCAACCCTTCTTAGTGTGTAAGAGATGACTTATGAGTTATTTTTCTTGAGATAGAATATATATATATATATATATATATATATATATATATATATACACACACACACCTAATCAAGAGAGAGCTGTTTTGGAAGGTTCTTAATCAAAGCGTAATTGTTTAGGAATATTTTAATTATAATTGACAAGGAATTATTTAGTGCAAGAGATCTAATTTGAATTCAAAATCTAAGAGAGAATTATTTAGGGAAGGGAGGAATCAAGGGAGATTGTTTAGGAAAGTTTTAATGATAATTGAGATGGAATTAATTCGGGAAATAAATCAAATTTGAATTAAAATTGAGAGGGAATTATTTAGAAAAAGGGGTTGATTTGGGAGGGAATTATGAGAGCATATTTAAGGCTAATAATAGGATGATTTCATGATTATGTTTGGAGTTTGCTGAAATTAGAATTTCTTAGGTTGTGTGAGCTCTAACTGTCGGCTAGGGATTTGGGAGAGCTAGATCTTCCTCTCCAATCTAACTGTATCTTGTTGTTTTCTTTCATATAGCTTGTAATAAAAACAGTTTGGCGTGTACTTCCTAAATTTTTTGTATCGTTATTTGATTTTACGGAAATTGCAATCACTTCCGATCAAATTGGTATCAGAGCATGATTCAGGTACCTATGGCTGAAAGAAATGTTGGAAAGGGAGATCAGACAATTGAAATATGATTTTGTAAAGATTTCAGATTTCGAAAAGTAATTTTTAGCCATCCATGAGAAGATCGATGGGAAGTTTGTCATCATGGAGGAGATGATTAGGAAGCTGCTACCCTAATTCGATAAGGAGAGGGAAAAATAAGGAGGTTGAAATGTTAGGGGAAGAAGAGGAGGTGCAAAGTTTGGAAGGAGAAAAAAGATGGGGAGAAGATAGAAGCACCAGACATGGTTCAACCACCCCTACAGTACTATCGAGGGGGTGTTCCAGTCAGTTATGGGGTTGCCTCCTCCGCAGGAACGCAAGCAAGCTACATCTTGAAGGAAGGAATCTCACTTATCAGTATTTGTTTGTATTGTCATCCCCAAATCCAAAATGAAGAGATTGAGAGATTAGTCAAGGAGATGCTCGAGGCAGGGATCGTTCAACCCAATGCTAGTTCATTTTTCAGTCCAGTGCTATTCGTCAAGTGCTTTAGCAGTAGTTTTCTTCGTTCCATCTTGAGGATAAGGTGAGACTTTGGGAGGGGAGTATTAATGGACCGGCTGATTTGATTGATAGAGAATTAGGAAGTTTCCTAATAGAGAGCTATTTAGGAAGGTTCTTAATCAAAGAGGGATTGTTTAGAAATGTTTTAATTATAATTGGGAAGGATTCTCTAGGACAAGAGATCTAATTGGAATTTAAATTCTAAGAGGAAATTATTTAGGGAAGAGGAGGATTTAAGAGGATTATTTAGGAAAGTCCTAATTATAATTAGGAAGAAATTAATTCGGGAAATAAATCAAACTTGAATACAAATTTGAGAGAGAATTATTTAGGAAAAAGGAGGCTGATTTGGGAAGGAATTATGGGAGCCTAAATAAGGCTAACAATAGGATGATTTCAAAATTATGTTTGGAGTTTGCTGAAATTAGAATTTCTTAGATTGTGAGGGTTGTAGCCGCCAGTTAGAGATTTGGGAGAGCCGAATCTTCCTCTCCAATTGAAGATCCAAATGTATCTTGTTGTTTTCTTTCATATATTTTGTAATAAGAAGAGTTAGGCGTGTTCTTCCTAAAATTTTTTTGTCGTTCTTTGATTTTACTAAAATTGCATCCACTTCCCATCACATTCCTTCTAATGTTAGACTAGGATTTATTTCAATATAAGGCCAAGAATTTTTATGGATATAGGCTCTTATAATTAATTATCCCTCTAGCTTTCTGGAGAATATCTTCAATTAAGGAGATATCTTAAGCTCAATTTTAGGCTTGGATTGGTATTTAGATTCTAAGTTAATTAATGGGAAATGATTGTTGATATGGAGATGGAAATAAATTTGAACAAGATCCCATTGTTATGTTATCTTGGGTTTACTAATAGACCCAATTTATTAATGTTAGAAGGTTATAAGTTGTATTGTCTAGCGAACCTGATTGACAATCATGTGTTGGATCTCCTCTTGGATGCTCGGGCATATTTTAGTGAAAATGCATGTGTCAAAGAAACATTCAAGATTAGCTTCGATTCATTTACTAGTAGGATGGTCATATCAATTTTTTTGAATTATTCAAAGGTATAACGCATAATCACTTGGAGTTGAGAGGAACTAGACATGATCCATAAGAACTTGAGAGTCATGAGATGAATATTAATTATTTATGACTTTGAGCTTGATTGAAAGACATAAATGATGCATGTAGGATTTTTGGTTTTATGGTTTAAATTGGTGAAATTTATTTTAATTGACGGGTTTATTAGTTAAAGAGCTAGCTCAATTTAAGTTGGATTGTGGATTATATCCTTTGGAAGGCCTAATGTTTGATTTGATTTGTTTGTTAACTTTTTGCTTGCCCAAATTATCGGGATGAGGCTTACATCCATTATAAGTCCCATTAAGTGTGATTTATGTTTGAGATTATTGATTTATGTTTGATATTTAAAAACAACTTGATTTGAAAATTGAGAATTATTGCTTTACTTGTGAGTTACCCAGAAGATCGAGGCTTATATTATGGGCTCTGAAAATTCGTCACACCCCAGCCTCTTCATGCTAGTCTCTTTTTTTGTGTGGAGGCGGAGATTTTTAACGGATTTAGTTTCTGGGTGAATTTTTAGAAGGCAGATTTGGTTTTAGATAAGACACCACGTAGAGATTTCGCCCTCATTTTTTGAGGACTTTATGATCTGAAATCTGGTTTCCTATAGTCGCAAGCCCCTATAGTTAATTATCCCTCCCGATAACAAGAGAACGTTCGATTAAGGCTAGTTGTTAAAGAGGTCGCATAGGTTGTAAATCCAGTGTATAATAGCAACAATTTTAAGATTTGAATTTGACTTTATGATTTAGAAGTTATCACCATAAACTTAAAACTGGTGGTTGGGGGAATTAAGACGAGCCTGATTAAAATCCCATGGTTCCGTTATCCCAGGCTATCATGATCCCTGGTCTACTTAGTTAAAGGAGATAATCAATCCAACCTGACAGAAGGTACCTTATTGGCAGCCATGGGTTGCTTTTTCCAAGAATATCTTGTAGAATTGGCGTGGTGTTTGTCTAAAGGGATATATCTGAATTCACCTTAGCAAATAAAGGACTTTATTACTATCGAATATACCCTATGATTCATTACTTACGGGTTTGACGTCGTTAGGGAACATACGGGCTTTGCCTGTGATGAACTTCTTTTTTAATGAAGCGTGTGCTTTTCCTTGTTTGCACGATGCACTTAAATTCTTTTTAATGCATTTGTACAACACATTTACATACTTTGATCGTATTCGTATGCATTTCAGTGCATTGACACGATGCACTTGCAAACGATCTAGTGCTCTTGCATAATATGTTTGCATGCTTTTCAGAGCGACAATTTTAAAAATTCTTTTATTATTTTCTAGTATGTCCAATATTCTTGGGCATCATGCATGCATATTCATTGCGCTTGTTGGAGCACATGTGAAGATTTGTTTTTTTTTTAAATAGTCTTGAAATTTAAGAATGCTTGTGAAATTTTATTGCATTTACTTGTTTTTTTATTTATTTGCACCACATATTTGCAGGTTTCATGATGCTCTTACACAATGCACTTGTATGTTTCATAGTGTGCTTGTGCAATGCACTTGCATGAATCTCGATGCATTTGTGCAGTATACTTGTATATGTTAGTGTGCTTGCGTGATGCACTTACACGAATCTGGATGCATTTTCATAATGCAGTTGCATGTTCTTAGATACATTTGCACAAACACTTGAATGAATCAGGGCACATTTGCACGACGGCATTTGCATGTTTAAAAGCTCACATGTTTCTTCTTTCACTTGTATAATACATTTGAATGTCTTAAATACACTCTCTATACATATAATCCTCCTATTTTCAAAGAGTCATACTTTTTTTTACAATAAGAATCATACATTTCCTAACACTAATTAGTATAATATATAATTTTTTAGGCTCACTTTGATCATAACCTACTTTAATGAGCAGTGTGAGAAGACATTTTTTCTAGAGAGTTGTTGAAGGCATTATAACCCACATATTGATATCCTTTGTTACGATCATAACTAGGTACTGGAATTTAGGATTGTCAATTCGGGTTGACTTGTCTGGTACATATATGTCCCGAAGTTGACCTGATCCAAATTTGCTTGACTTGAACCTAACATATTGTTTATATGGGTCAAATTGTTTGATCCAACCCGAGTCAATTAGAACTTGACCAGCTCATCGACCCATTTATTATTTGGATCATACAATTTTTTGGATAAACAAAACTAATTAACCCAATATGACTTGCTTAACACGAACATGAATAATAATTTGGTTAAGTTTGAGTTTTCGAGTTAACCTGAACTTGACCTAAAATTTAATCACGTCAAAATTTTTAACCCACATTTAATCCAAAATTTAATCGGGATAACTCAAACACAAA